TAGACTGTATATCGTAGTTATGTCCCATGAACGATTTCTTGGTTCAAGGGAGACAATTCGAATAAAGAAAACTGAAAATGTTTAATGGACATTATTAATCATTAAAGAGTTTTTTGTTTTTGTTTTTTGACATTATGGGAAAATTTTCGCATTCTTAGCTTAAGTCAGATTCAGATTTTTTCTTTTTACCTGTAAATAAATTAATCCATGAATTTAACCATTAATACCCAACATAAATTCCTGTGTTAATTATATGATTATAAAAGCCTCTCACTACTTTATCACTACTTTCATGGAATGTGCTTGGACGAATTTCATTCCTTGGTACTGCCTGTTTTAACGTTCATGGCTATGACCCCCTCCCCCCAATTCCTTTCGTATTCCATTGATGAGATATAAGTTCCAATTTAACAGCTTCTTCCAGTAAACGACTGCTCTGTGGAACCAATTCCCAAGAGAATGCTTCCCTGATCACTACAGTCTTAGGGTTAACAGTTATCTTTCCCACCCATATGCATAAATTGTGCCTCTTACTTTGTAACCCTCTACCTAGCAGACCCCCAGGATTTGTACAGGGTGAAGTTCACTGTGTAGTAGAAAAAAAAAGGCATAATATATATGTGTGTGTGTGTGTGTGTGTGTGTGTGTGAAAGACAATAGGAAAACTGTAATAGTTGTCGATGCGTTTCATCCGATGTGGACTTTCTCAAGGCAAAAACGAAATGAATTTATTAAATGAAGTAACTAATAATAACAAAACAAAATGTCCTTAGCAACTGAAAGAATTTGGAGAACTCTATGTCATTTACTGTCACATGTGGAGATATTGTTTTTATTGCTGTATTGATGGATTCAACCATTTTCTTTTGATTTCTTGATATTGTTCTGTAAGTGTGTTTGGGAGAGAAGTAATTCTGTTAAGAAAGATGAAATAGGGGAAAAGCCTGGGCGTAGATTAATATTTAGGTAATATTCAATGGCAGCACTCTCGAGGATTTTCCTTCTGAGTGAGTTATTTTCTTTTTTTTATGAGTATCATTTTTAAAATCAAAATTATGGTTGAATTTATTTCTATGTATGACTAGTGCATTAGCTAAGTTGTTTTTTTATGAGGTCTCTTTTGTGCTCATAAATGCGTTTTTTTAAATTTCTACTTGTTTCTCCAATATATTGGGAGGAACAGATTTGGCAATTTATTTTATAAATGCCTGCTTCAGAAATATTATTGCTATTAGTGTTTGAGGATCTGAGTATGTCCATAATCAAACGCGTCGGCAACTATTAGTTTTCCTATTGTCTTTTACATTTATAAATATTGTCTTTTTCTACAGGTTAACTGAGAAATTTTTCATATATGTATATATATAGTTTTAAGGTGTGCTATATTTATGGGATAAAGTGCTCAATATCAGAGATAGGCCTGATGATCACAGCTAGCATGAATCAGCCTGTTACCTCGGAGTTGTCTTCAATGTTTACTTTTATATACATTCTGTAATAATTATGCCTTTTTTTGTCTTTTTAAATTTTTGTTAATTTTAAGTTACTAATAAAAAATAAATAAATATGATTTTAATTAAAGGTTTATAACCAAAGCCTATTAATATCGGTCATTAATTTTTGCACAGCAGGTATTAATTAGTCATAAATAAAATTTGAAGGAAACTGAATAATATAAGGAAAATGTAGTCACATTGGTTCAACTACGTCTGGATAATCATGCCACAATGCAAAGACTAACACAAGTTTTAACATTGTTACCTTTTCCGTAGGTACCTTCACTAATTTGTGATAATTCAAAATGCTTAAAGTTTAAAATGAATTTTAAAAATTAAAAAGCTTTCTTGAAGCTTTCATTTTAACTTTAATTGAAAGCTGAAGGTTTTCAAATTCCAGTAAGCAAAATACTCTGTAGCGTATTTCAAACAGAAATTATATTGTTTGACATCAATTCACTTTTTTTTTCTTTTTTTTTTTTTTGCTAAAAATAGCTGATTAATGCTCGTTTTTTTTAATCATCTGTCATCACAATGTAATTTTCTTTATTCAAAAATCTTCCAAAAATAAAATATACTTTTCTAAAACTTTGAGGAATATTAGTTGATTTAAAGCATAATTAATCTGATTTGAAACATTTACTTTAAGTTGAAAATAACAGAGAAATGGATTCTTAAAAAACAAACAGTAGCAGTGATTATGTATTTATCACTCATCAATCACTTAACTTAAATCATGCTGATAAAGGGGTTGACAGCTTTATTGTTGTTTTAAGGAGACTATCTGTTAAAACATAATTTAAGAAAATGATGGATGAAACTTTTTTTTTTTATATAAATTTTTAAGTACTCAGTAATCTTAAAAATGTTAGAAATACACTCTGTAATCTAATTTTAGGAATGTTGAACTTAAATTTACTATAGTCATCAATCTTATTTTCTGATAATGTCATCTATGGTCACACAATTTCAAAATGGGCAAGTTATACACATAAAATAATTTATTTTAATTATTTTAAAAATCTTAGTGATTGATTTGTATTAAGCTTTTCAATTTTCACTTAGTAAATATAGTCTTCACTTAATAACTTAATGTGATCAAAGTTATGAATTTTTAAAAAGGTTTTTGAAACTTTATAAATTATAAAAAAAAAAAAAAAAAAAAAAAAACAATTCTTGTAAAAATTCATTATTCATCAAAAAAATTTCTTTCTTCAGACTATAATGTCCTTAATATATATTATTTATAAAAACAATTAAAAGCTTATCTAAATAATGTCATAATTTTATTACGGTTTTTATTTTACTATCCAGAGCACATTTTTAAGAAAGCAGGAACTGAAAAAAAAAAAAAATAGATGATTTACATTCTCCAAGGAGTCCTGCATTTAACTAATAAAACACAGAATTTAATTTCTAGAAATTTTATGAGATTAAGTAAATTGCGGGGGGGGGGGAGATTTATATATATATATAAAAAATTTTTTTTTACGAAGGTTTCTCTAAAAATAATAAAATCAAAAATAAATTCATTCATTTGTGAATAAGCCCTGAAAGTTTTATTAAAATCTGATAATTATTTGATTTTTACAAGAATTCCCAAATGTGTTATCTTACCAGAAAAAAGGTGCTAAAATTTCCAGTCAACTGTTACACTGTTGATGCATATTAAAAAAAGGAAAAGGAAAAGAAAAGGAAAAGGAAAAGGAAAAGGAAAAGAAAAGGAAAAGGAAAAGAAAAGGAAAAGGAAAAGGAAAAGGAAAAGGAAAGGAAAAGAAAAGGAAAAAAAAAGGAAAAGGAAAAAAAAAGGAAAAGGAAAGAGAAAAGAAAAGGAAAGAGAAAAGAAAAAGAAAGGGAAAAGAAAAAGAAAGGGAAAAGAAAAAGAAAGGGAAAAGAAAAAGAAAGGGAAAAGAAAGGGAAAAGAAAAAGAAAGGGAAAAGAAAAAGAAAAATAAAAGGAAAAGAAAAATAAAAGGAAAAGAAAAGGGAAAAGAAAAGAAAGGAAAAATAAAAGGAAAAGAAAAATAAAAATTCCCCCAAAAAAATAAAAGGAAAAGAAAAATAAAAGGAAAAGAAAAATAAAAGGAAAAGAAAAAAAAGGAAAAAAAAAAAGGAAAAGAAAAAAAAGGAAAAGAAAAGGTGAGAAAAAAAAAAGGAAAAAAAATAGGAAAAAAAAAAGGAAAAAAAAGGAAAAAAAAAAGGAAAAAAAGGGAAAAAAAAGGAAAAAAAAAAAAAAAACACACACACAATTTTGAACATGTTAGAAAGGATTAAAAAATAATTTGGTCTTTCCTCTTGATAATAAACATTTTGGTGATAAAACTTTGTTTTAAGTTTGGGGCCTTTTTCATCATCTGTTTTTTAGTGAAAAAGTGGAAGTACCTACTTTTCAGGTTTTATTTTATTCTGTAGTCAAGCTGCATATTTGTGCAGGGATTGTACAATGATTTTTTTTTAGTACACAAACCAGAAATAAGAAGCAGTAATTTATTTCAGAATTGAACTGATCTGGATCTAATACCATCTAAATAATTGTACAAATTCACAACAGCCTTATCCATTTGCAATGAATAGGTGGTTTATTTATTTTATTTTATATTTTTTTTAGACATTTCACCCCAAGTAAGGCAATAATGCAACTAGGACACAAAGGGTTACTGGGAGTAATAAAAGAGAAGACTTTAGTGAGGAGAAAGGACAATTATTAAGTTTTCAGGAAGACAGATAATGATTGACATTGTATTTAAACTTTTGAAGATTGTAGGGAAGCAAGAAATCAGAAGAGTTCCACATGTGACAAGTGCAAGGTTGCATCGAGCTTGTTCGACTTTAAAATGGTGAGACCTAGTTGCCAAGCTAATCAGTCAGTTATGTGACACGCTTAGGCGATCCTGTATCTTTTGATACAGGACTGAAGAGGCAGATTTTTTCCACAGTAGGTTGCCATTTCTTTCTGTGGTAGACCAGTTGCCATCCAAGGCTATAGAACCCAGTCTGTCCTGCTATTTACCCATATCCGGGGGGGGGGGGGAGAAGAGGATTCATAATTTTCCCATGAGTATTAGCACATAAGTGAATGTAATGGATTTGACTGGAATTCAAACTTGGCTCCATGCCGCCAATATAGGAGTAGACTTAAATTCATGCAGTCAAGGTGCTAAGGAGGAAAGCTCATCAGAAGAAGTGCCATGAAAATATTTGTAGAAAAGAGAGGGGAAAAAATATCAAGTTGGCGAGAAAGTGACTGAAGTTAAGATGCTAGGTCAGAATAGATTACATTTAGCCTCAAATATGTGAACCATTGTAGCTCCAACTATTTCAAAATTTTTTGCAACAGTGACCACACATTGCAGGTAATTTTTATTGGTGCACAAAGCAGAATGCAAGCTCAGTAAATTTCCTTCCTAGAAATTTTGGATTAAAATTGATAAAATTAAGTTAAAGTGATATTGTTTAGAAAAGTTTAATATGTAAAAGATTTCATTTTAACTAAAACATGACCAGCTTACGGCCATATCACGTTCAAACAACAGTTCCCGTATGAACACCAAAGTTAAGCAATGTTGAGCCTTGTCAGTACCTAGATGGGTGACCACTTGGAAATGTCAGGCGCTGTAAGTTTGGATGCGCAGATGGTGTAACGGATACCGAGTTGGAATTGTTAATCAGAGAGTTGAGTTCCAATTGGTTTCATCATATTCATTTAAGCGCAAATACTCTTGGGGAAGGTATGAATCCACTTCTTCTCCCTCAGTTATGGGTTAATTAGTAAGATTTGTATCACTAAATCTTTATCTATAAAAAAAAAGAAAAAATTCTTACAATTTAAAAAAAAATTATTTTCAGATTGTTTTTTTTGCAGATTATTTTTAAATAAAATAACCTGCAAGAGATTTGATAAGCCATAGAAAACGAATCAACGAAACATGACAAGAATACGATAAATTCCAATCAAGCAAATATACAAACTAATCAGTTACAATAGAAATAGGTTTCAAAGATTTTCTTTTTAAAGTATCTACAAAAGACAGAAAATTGTGGAGAGCCATGATCACCAACGTCCTGAATGTGGAGGGTGGCAGCAGCATTTGAGAAAAGATGAAAGTTTGATCAAAATTCCAATAAGTACCAGAGAGTGCTGAAAAGTTCTAGGTCCAATCAGGGAAGGTTAAAAAAAATATTGTCAAGTTTTGGGAATTTGGTCAAGATGAGAACTTTTTAGCTCCACCCCTTGCATGAATCCCTGAAACTAATTAAAACTTCCAACTACACTTGCATTTAAAAATATAAACAAAAAATTTGTCTGTTCTTATATTTTATTGCATATAAAAACCGCTCTTTTCTGAAATATTAGAATTTCATTCTTATAAAATAAATGGATATAAAAAAAAAGGAACTTATTTTGAAGTGAATCCCCATATAGGCCACAAAAGAACTTCCAGCAACATTCAATATGCCATCAAACAATTTTTTTTGGAGGGGTGTCTAATATGTCATCAGATACAATAATTTTTAAATAATGTTTAACTTATTTTATTCAGGAAAAGAATTTCTAAACAACTTTTCATTTCAGTCTGAATTTCTTATATAAGGAATTGATCACTAGAGTAGTATCCTCATCTTGGTTGTTTTAGTTAAAACAATTTCAACCATAGGACTGTCTAACCTCCTCCAGGTATGTTTCATACTTGGTAAACTGAGAATTTAGGAAACTCACTACCTGACTCAGGGACTGACCATCAGGTAAATAACAGATTTGTTTTTATCAATCAGAAAAATTCCCATATAATTTTAGAGCCTTAAACCCAATATCTTTCTTTTCTTTTTTTTTTTAAAAAATTGTTTTGACCCTTGCAAGACAGTAAAGCCACTAAGACATGAAGGGTTACTCAGTGTGAAATAAGAAAACAACATTAAGCAGAGAGAACAACAGAAGAGTCATCACGAAGACAGAAGATAATGACTGACATTGCATTTAAATTTTTGAAGATCAAAATTGACTGGAAAACATGGAGCCAGAAGAGAGTTGCACAAGTGAGAAGTGTGAAAAAAGAAATTCTTAACATAGAATTTATGGTTGCATCTAGTCAACTCAACTGTGAATTGTTGTCAATCTAGTACTGCACTTAAATTCTTAGAGTCCAGGTACCATAGCAAAGAGCTCATCTGAAAGTATTTATAGAAAAGGCACAGAGAAACTATGTTATGGCAGTTGGAAAGAAAGTGAAATGTCAGGTTAGGAACAATAATAGTGCTGATTCTTCTTTGGATTTTAGCAAGAAAAATTATTTAGGAGGAGCACTGGAACATATATGGCAGCAATATTCAAAGCATGGACGAATAGTAGACTTAGAGGTATATAAGTTAGATTCAGGAGAGATAAATTGTCTAGCATGACACAGTAAACCAGCTTTCTTAGCAGTTTGTTCTTATAAAATCTAGTCTCCCTATAGTAGAAGCCTCAATGGAATGTTCTTTTTCAGTAAATAATAGGCGGCCATAACTGCAACAAAGGTGAAAATTACACAGGACACATCTGTAGAGATTTTGGAAAGGTTTATTTTTTTGTTTTTTTTTTAAAAAAAAAGTTTACAGATACACAAAGCTGCTTGTCTGTTTGATCTAACAAGTCAAATTTATTGAGTGGAATGGAGTAGTTTGTGGGGAGGGGGTCCAAGCAGCACCTAAAAAAAAAGTGGGGGCTGAATTATCTTATTGGGACAATTTTTTTTTTTATTTGACCAAGTGAAACAAACTCCACTTTGGTTATGCCTCCCAAACTCCATGTGTGCAACAAGTTTTTTTTACAATAACTTTTCTCCCTTCTCTTTCCATGCACAGGAAATGTCTCTGCACCATTGATATTTTTAAATTAAAATCAGCAGAGAGTGAGATATGATTGGTAGAAGGGAAACCAAATAAGAAGAAAAAGGATGCTGACAATTTTGTTTCTTTTTGGTATATTTTGTCTGCTGATGAAGATGAGAGCGGGAAAATATGCTAGAAATATCAAAGCAATTTTTTGAAAACTTTTTTTTTTTTTTGATTCAAAATTGATATTTGTGAAAAGCTTACTTCATTAGAGAAGAGCAAGCCTAAGAATTGAAACAGCATCCTTGAAATTTAAGAGAAGTTAAGACACAATTGATTCAAGTCTGGGCGGGGGGGGAGGTGGACTGGGAATAAATAAAAAGAGGGATGGGTTAAAAATGGTGCCAGAGAGGTTTGACTCCCCAAAAACATCCATGATGTGTTTGATTTTTTTTTTGTTTTTTTTTTTTTGTTGTTTTTTTAAATTCTATGCCAGACATTGAGAACAACTTAAAAGAAACTAGTACTCAAGTGTCAAAATGTTGTAAAATGTGTATAGAAATTTTATTCCCAGGAGAAAATGAAAACAGAAAAGAAATAAATAAAAAGGTGGATTTATTTTAGTCAAGTCAGCTTATTAAACAAAAAAGAAAGAAAGAAAAAAAAAAAAAAAAAAAGAGTGGGGTTAAAAAGAGGGACAGAAAAAGTGAATAGTTTGCATAATAAAGATGTTTTATTTTCAGAGTTCAAATGTAACTATGATGACAAAAATGTTGCAGATAAATTCAAGTCTGGCAGATATTCACAAATAAAAGGAGAATAATGGCTGACAAGCCATTTGCAATGGGAATCATTTGCAAAATTCATTTGTCTTACTTTTAGGGATTGGTTGGTTTTAATCTTCCTTCTTCTTCATTGAATGAGCATGACAACTGGTTACAAAGCATCAGATATTGTTTTTCACTATACATCAAATATCGTAAGTTTATGTACACTGAATTGTGTGAGGAAAGAAACAGAACAAGCAAATACTGTGACTTTGGTATTATCCCTCTTGGCCAAAGTCTTCCGTGAACTTTTGTAACTTCTCTAAATCTTTCTCATTAACCGTGGGCTTGATAGTATTCAAAGACATCAACATGTCAGTCTGGAAAATAGAGAAATAAAATAATTACAAGAGAATTTTGATAATAGACTTCCATATGAAATGATTATATAAATCTATTCATATATTAATTGTTCAATGGTAAATTCAAGATTTCAGTGTGGGCCTTTTTCATAATTCAAAACCATTTTCAAGATTAGAGATGAAAATTGTCAGATTCTGAAATAATAATTACTAGCCTATTTGAAAATAAAGATTTGGTTCTATAAGGAACATTTATTTTATTTTTTTAAATAAAGTCACCCCAAACAAGGCAATAATGCTACTAAGATGCAAGGGGTTACCAGGAGTGAAAGAGAAGACTTTAGAAGGAACCAGAACCCCAATACTAAAAAGGGATAAACTTCTACACCTGTTCAAAAGACTGGGGAGGAGTATGAACCAGACAATAGGCAAACCTATTTATTCCTATTGCGGAAAATAAATACGTAAATAAAATTTCAGAGTTCAGGCAGAGACATTAAAAGTATAGAGTTGAAGTAGACTTTAGAAGGAACCAGAAACCCAATCCTAAACAGGAGAAGTGGATAAACCTCTACTCCTGTTGCTTGAAATTATGATTTCCTATTGTCAATATTTAATAGCTGCTATTCAATATAAAGATGATTGATATCTGTTAGCTTCTATAACAGTATAAGTAAAATTTCAAAAGTTAAAGAGAAAAAAAAAAAAATTGCATCAAATTTCAAAATATTTAGCTTTACAATTTATTTACTTAATACATTGATTCTCAACCACTGAGCCATTCAAACTAGAGTTCCATGAAATATTGCCACAGCATACACACACACACACACGTGTGTGTGTGTGTGTGTGTGTGTGGAAGTAGTAATGGTACAGCGTTAGTATTTGAGTAAATGAATAAGTATTAAATTTTTTTTTTTTTTTCAAATAATTCTTCACTATTCTTCAATTATGTTATTTTAAATTGTTTTAGTATTCATTTTTTAAAAAGTATTTTTATTTTTTTTAATTTAACTTGAAAATTCTTTATTTGAATAAATGAATATTAACTTTTTCTTCACATAATTGTATTCAACATTTTTTGTTTAGTATCTGTCGATATTTCTGAGATGAAGTATTATGTACACTATTACATTGTTCAGACTATCATCCTCATCTTTGTGATAAATATGGCAACAAAGATGAGGATAATAGTCCAAACAATGTAAATTTTTTTGTTTAATTCAAAATGGGTATACATTTTTTGTTTAATTCAAATTGTTTAATTCAAAATGGGTATACATTTTTTGTTTAATTCAAATGGGTATACATTTAAATGTTATTAAATAAAACCATGAATGGTTTTATTTAATAACATTTAAATGTATACCCATTAAAAATTTTGCTAAGTATGCCATGATATTTTCATTTACTCCTAGGTGGGACGCTGATTAAAAAGGTTAAGAAACACTGACTTAATGGATGCTTCAACTATTCCAATTTTCTATCAAGAGAGATTCCAAGTAGATTGTTCCAAATGTCATTTCTATGCTTTTTATCAAGTTCATTTACTGGCTGACTTTTTCTTCTATCATTTTCCGATAAATAATTAAAAAAAAAAAAAAAAAAAAAAAAAAAGGTCAGTAGCAGCAGTTTCTATTTTAAAATAAAATAAAAAAAATCATCCAAATACAAGTAAAATAATGTTACACACGATATACTGAATTAGGAAAAATAACACTTGTGCTCTCATCTTGGTTGTTATAATGTTACAATGTTTTGGCTGTTCTACTCTACAGCCTTCTTTAGGAAGCCCATCATATCTGATAAACACCTATGAATTTTGAACTGAACCTTTTATTCAATCCAGCCTACCACAGAGAATTAAATAAAGACGAGGGTCTGAAATTCTTAGAAGATTAACAGTTCTTCCAAAACTCTTTTTTTTTTTTAAATTATGGTGCACAGTGTATAAAGAATGTCTTAAGCCAGAAAATGGAGTTAGTTTAGAAATAAAAAAAAAAGTGGTTGATCAAGATTTGGTTAAGTAAATGTATATAAATTTGTTACTACATATTTTGAACTGCTTTGACTCAATTTAACTTTTTGCTGATTATGCACATTTTTTTTTTTTCTTTTTTAAAATAAAATAACTTTTTAGTGAGAGCAAATGTATTGGTTATGTACATAACATTTTTTATAGAATGCTACACTGATCCTCACCAGAAATGCTACGGTCAAACACTTTGATTCTTGACACCAGCTCACAGATATTCTGATGGTCTTAAGTATACACTGTCAAGAACTTTAAGATTAGTTATGATTAAGGGGACATACAACAGATTCATCATAAATAATAAGCATAAAAGTACAGCAGCTATGATTTATTATGTACCATAATTTTCCCATGTATAATACACATTTCTAAAAAAATAATAAGCAATATTGGGTGCATATTATGCACAGCTAAAAAAAAAAATCTTTAAAAAATTGCTGTAAAATAAAATAAGAATTATCATAAGACTAAAAACCCACTTTATTTTTAAACCAACCCACTCCCCAAGTTTATTTTTTGGGGGGAGGGGTTGACAGGCTGGCCCTTTTTCAACATTCCCTAGTAACAACTAGTAACAATGCTTGTGAGGAAATATGTCTGTGATTGAGGGTAAATGAAGCTAATGATGGAGGGGGGGGGTGCAATATCCAGTAAGTTGTCCAATGACAATCTGAGCAAAAACTGCTGGCCAGATATCAAACACAAAGGTGATATTTCTCAATCAATATGTTTAAAACTAAATTAGATTAATATGTTTAAAACTAAATTAGATTAATATGTTTAAAACTAAATTAGATTAATATGTTTAAAACTAAATTAGATTAATATGTTTAAAACTAAATTAGATTAATATGTTTAAAACTAAATTAGATTAATATGTTTAAAACTAAATTAGATTAATATGTTTAAAACTAAATTAGATTAATATGTTTAAAACTAAATTAGATTAATATGTTTAAAACTAAATTAGATTAATATGTTTAAAACTAAATTAGATTAATATGTTTAAAACTAAATTAGATTAATATGTTTAAAACTAAATTAGATTAATATGTTTAAAACTAAATTAGATTAATATGTTTAAAACTAAATTAGATTAATATAAATTAGATTAATATGTTTAAAACTAAATTAGATTAATATGTTTAAAACTAAATTAGATTAATATGTTTAAAAAACTAAATTAGATTAATATGTTTAAAACTAAATTAGATTAATATGTTTAAAACTAAATTAGATTAATATGTTTAAAACTAAATTAGATTAATATGTTTAAAAACTAAATTAGATTAATATGTTTAAAACTAAATTAGATTAATATGTTTAAAACTAAATTGATTTATATGTTTAAAACTAAATTAGATTAATATGTTAAAAACTAAATTAGATTAATATGTTAAAAACTAAATTAGATTAATATGTTTAAAACTAAATTAGATTAATATGTTTAAAACTAAATTAGATTAATATGTTTAAAACTAAATTAGATTAATATGTTTAAAAAATTAGATTAATATGTTTAAAACTAAATTAATATGTTTAAAAACTAAATTAGATTAATATGTTTAAAACTAAATTAGATTAATATGTTTAAAACTAAATTAGATTAATATGTTTAAAACTAAATTAGATTAATATGTTTAAAACTAAATTAGATTAATATGTTTAAAACTAAATTAGATTAATATGTTTAAAACTAAATTAGATTAATATGTTTAAAACTAAATTAGATTAATATGTTTAAACTAAATTAGATTAATATGTTTAAAACTAAATTAGATTAATATGTTTAAAAACTAAATTAGATTAATATGTTTAAAAACTAAATTAGATTAATATGTTTTAAAACTAAATTAGATTAATATGTTTTAAAACTAAATTAGATTAATATGTTTAAAACTAAATTAGATTAATATGTTTAAAACTAAATTAGATTAATATGTTTAAAAACTAAATTAGATTAATATGTTTAAAACTAAATTTTAAAAAACTAAATTAGATTAATATGTTTAAAACTAAATTAGATTAATATGTTTAAAACTAAATTAGATTAATATGTTTAAAACTAAATTAGATTAATATGTTTAAAACTAAATTAGATTAATATGTTTAAAACTAAATTAGATTAATATGTTTAAAACTAAATTAGATTAATATGTTTAAAACTAAATTAGATTAATATGTTTAAAACTAAATTAGATTAATATGTTTAAAAACTAAATTAGATTAATATGTTTAAAACTAAATTAGATTAATATGTTTAAACTAAATTAGATTAATATGTTTAAAACTAAATTAGATTAATATGTTTAAAACTAAATTAGATTAATATGTTTAAAACTAAATTAGATTAATATGTTTAAAACTAAATTAGATTAATATGTTTAAAACTAAATTAGATTAATATGTTTAAAACTAAATTAGATTAATATGTTTAAAACTAAATTAGATTAATATGTTTTAAAACTAAATTAGATTAATATGTTTAAAACTAAATTAGATTAATATGTTTAAAACTAAATTAGATTAATATGTTTAAAACTAAATTAATGTTTAAAACTAAATTAGATTAATATGTTTAAAACTAAATTAGATTAATATGTTTAAAACTAAAATTAGATTAATATGTTTAAAACTAAATTAGATTAATATGTTTAAAACTAAATTAGATTAATATGTTTAAAACTAAATTAGATTAATATGTTTAAAACTAAATTAGATTAATATGTTTAAAACTAAATTAGATTAATATGTTTAAAACTAAATTAGATTAATATGTTTAAAACCATTTTTTTAAAATAAGAGTAGGAAACGCTGGTTGTAATGAAATTGGAGAGGTACAATTTATAAGGTTTGATTACCAAACAAGGGGTGCATATTATGTGTGAGTAGAAACATTTTCCCACACTTTCAGCACAATTTTAGGGGTGAGGATTATGGATGAAGGTGTATTATACACAGAATTACAGTATTTATTTTCTTCTTTGAGGTGTTGTGTCCTTTCAGAAGTTGGGCGATCATGGCTTTTATAGCTCTTAGCAATATTTTCCTTTTTACTATCCTTGCCATCCATTCACACAAGCTCATTAAGTCGATTCTTATGAAAAATTTTTTTTTATTTTTAAAGTAAAATAATATTTTGGTGAGAGCAAATATATTGGCTGATCCATTTACAAGTCTTGTTTAAAAGATAGTGACATTGTAGATTGAACATGGGACACAAAGTAAGGATCCACTTTACCAATGTATGTATATTATAAATCAATCACCCACTTCAGGTCCATTTTGCATGCTTCCTAAAAGGGGGTAATAGATTGGTGTATGACAGCATTAAAATTTTCAAATATCTTGTGGTGTTCTTATGGAGAGTACAATGGGCAAAACATTGTGATTAACAACCAAGATGAAGATACTTTTCATGTAAGAAATGGCTGAAATGTTGTAACTATAATAACCAAAGAATTGTTTCCATAAACATTAATTAAGATTAAAAAACAATTTCTTCATGTTCTTAATCTACAAAGTTCATACTTACAATATTCATGAGTGGTTCAAGCAGTTTATCTCCTGGTACCTGTGTCCAGCTCATTTCAACAGCACCTGGGGCGCCCGGAGAACAGGGAGATAGATAATCATCAATAATGATTGACGGATCAGTTCGGCTTGGAGCTCGCACCTAAACGATACACACAAGCAATTTAAATATTAATCAACATTAAAGAAAGAAAGAAAGAAAGAAAAAAAGTAAAAAGACATCCATTTTCAAACCATGCTCAAAATTCACGATGCTTAAATTCTTCTGATTGCATTCCCAAATCTTTTTTTTAGCCAATATAAGTATAATCAAAAGAATTTATCTATAATACTTAAAAGTAAAGAAGGCTTCATTTTTTTTTTTAACTAAAATAAAGAAATAAATTGTCATTTAATCTGTTCAATAAAAATAAAAATGTGGATATTTTTTTCATAATTAAAACTCTTCCATCAAATAGTAAATCAGTTACCTCCCTTAGAGCATATTTCTAAATTCAGATCAGATAAGAAAAAATAAAAATCTCATAACCGAATAAAAAAAAAAAATTTAAAAAAAATAATCAATGAAGATAATTGTTGATTATAAATGATAAAAAAAAAAAAAAAAAAAACCGGTTGTTTTTTTTTTTTTTTTTTTTTTTAAGATATTGTTTTCTTTTCAAAAATTGAAAATAATCTAAAAGGATTTGAAAAATATTTTATAATAAAATACTAAACCTAATAACATGAAAATGGTGATGGAAACAAAAAAAAAAAAAAAAAAAAAAAAAAAAACATTTTTTGTCATGAGCCTGAAAAGATCCTTCTTAACTATAAGATTCTCAACTGACCAGTTTGATTGAAAGAAAAAATATGAAATGCAAGAGAATCTGAACGTTTTCAAAATTGAAGTCAATAAAGAGAGAGTTAAAAGAAATGTTTTACTTTTGTATTTTTCCCTTTCAAGCTTCTAGAGTTTAAAAATTTTCATTTTCTGAAAGTGAATGAATTCCAAAA